ACTGCGGGGTCAGGGGTGTGACACCGTGTGTGACACTGTGATCATGTGTGTGACACTTTGTGTGACATTGTGGGGGTCAGGGATGTGACATTGTGTGTGTGACACTGTGTGTGTGACACTGTGTGACACCGGGGGGTCAGGGGTGTGACACTGTGTGTGTGACACTGTGACACCACGGGGGTGGTGACACGGCGTGTTTGCCATGGGACACCTCCCCGCGCCTGCTGTGCCACCCACGGGCGTGTCACCCCCTCACACCCCCTGAGCTGCCCCGCAGTGAAGTCCCCTCCCCATTTTTGAGACCCCCAAATTCTGCAAACCCCTCCAGTCCCCACATGAGGGTGACAGCAAGGATGTCACAAGTGTCACAGCAGAGCGTGGCAATGTCCCCGCAGGGACATGCCAGCCTCCATGTTGTGTTCCCAAAGGGAAGTGGCACCAGTGCCACCATTCCACGTGGAGCCTTGTCCAGGCTGCTTCCAAGCCCTAATACTCCCCTTGGGAGAGCATTAATTAATGGGAGGCTAATTAATTAATAATGCTGATTAATAGATGCCACAAGCCCTGACACGAGCCCATAAATCCTGCAGGGAGGTGCCAGTGCTCCACCCTTGGAGCTGCAGGCACAGAGCTCTGAGCCCTGGGAGCATTTCCCCTTGGGATGTCACAGGGCAGCAGGGACCGAGCCATGGGACACCTGCTCCTGCATCCCAAAAGTGATCCAGAGCCTCCCTGCTCGGCTGCCAAGGAGCAGTGGGATTTCTGCAGCAGCTCCTGCCTGTGGGAAGAGCCAGGAAGGCCCCACTGGGGAGGGTGATCCCATTATCCAAGGTGGGAGAAAAGGAGGGACACAAAGGTGCTGCTGAAATTCCCCATCTGCAGCAATTCCCTCATCCCACATGTGGGATGTTTCACCAGACAGGCCACAGCATTTTAATACCGATATCAGAACGCTTTTAATTCAAATCCCAACCCTGTTCCATCACAAAAGACCCTTGGCTGCACCATGAGGCACTTTTGGGGTGAGAAAAAGGTGTTTAGGGTCAGAGCTGAGGCAGGGAGGGGAGAGGGGACGCTGGGATTCTGGATCTGTCTCCCAGCCCCTCCTGTGCTCCAGTCCTGCCCCTCCCAAGGGGAGGAGGCACTTGGGAACTTCTTTGGGAATTGGGGAATCATGAGGGACCTCAAAACCCACCCAGTGCCACCCCTGCCATGGCAGGGACACCTCCCACTGTCCCAGGCTGCCCAAACCCCAATGCCCAACCTGGCCTTGGGCACTGCCAGGGATCCAGGGCACCCTGTGCCAGGGCATCCCCACCATGACCAGGAAGAACTCCCATCCTCCCAACCAGGAATTCCTCCACACTCTTTCCCATCCCCTTCTCCAAGCAAAATCATCTAAAGGTGTAAAATCCCTCGGTAAAAATGGCCTGAGGCAAACCCAGGGGATTCAGATCCTCCTCCAGCTGAGGTCTCCTGTCCTCTGTCCCCCTTCCCTTCCCTTTTCCACCTTTCCACATGGGCACCGCTTCCTGGAGACACCAAAAATGAACTTGTGACCACAAATTCCCAGCGGTGCCACAGATTTCACTGCCAGGGTGTGGAGCAGGTCTGAACTGGGGTGCTCAGAGGGGTGTCCCTGGGGCAGGCTGGGATCAGGGCTCGTGCTGCAGGTATTTGGCCAGGACTGTGGGGATCTCCAGCTTTCCAAGGGCGGCTGAGAGGCTGGGCTGCTTCAGGAGACGCCTCACGGCCAGCCGGGATTGGGACAGCAGGGATTTGGGATGAGCTGTGGAAGGAAAATCACATGGTCACCTTCGTGACACACAACCCTGCTGCCCTCCAACCCAGCATTAGCCAAAGGAAAGGGACATGGATTGAGCAAAACAGACAGGGTTGGAACAAAATGATCTTTAAGGTCCCTTCCAACCTAAACCATTTCATGATCCTATAAAAATTCCATGAAAACTCAACCTCTGTGCTGGGGCTGGGGCTGTGGACTCGGGCACAAGCTCCCGTGAGAGCTGGGCATGGAGAAGAAATCTTCCATCTGCACATGGAAATAAATTTAGATTATTTTAGACTATCAGGATTTTAGACTTGGGCAGTACAGGAGAGCCCAAGCTAAGCAGCAGAATGGACAGCAAGGGTGAAAAGCAGCAACCCAGCAAATGTGGGGAAAGCCAGGCTGTGGGAATCATGGAATCACACAAAGGTTTAGGCTGGGAAGGGAATTTAAATTCATCTCATTCCATGGGCAGGGACACCTGCCACTGTCCCAGGCTGCTCCAAGCCCTGGACACTTCCAGGGATGCAGGGGAATGGATGGGACACCTCAAACCTACACATGTTCCAAGCTCTGGACACTTCCAGGGATGCAGGGGTGGGGATGGGACACCTCAGACCTACACATGCTCCAAACCCTGGACACTTCCAGGGATGCAGGGACAGGGATGGAACAACACAAACCCACACAGCCAAGTGATGCTGCGAGGGGAATAAAGGCTGAAGGAAAACCTGGTTGTTGGGAAGAGGGAATCAGAGCAAAGCTGTGCCCGTGCCAGCCTTGGGGCACGCACCCAGCTCACCTCTGGCCTGCAGCAGCAGCTCCAGCCCCTCGCTGTGCGGTGCCACCCCGTCCATGGGCACGCTGGGCAGGTACACGTTGGCCCCAAAATCGATGAGCAGCCGGATGAAATGGCTGTGGCAGCCGTGCCTCAGACACGTCTCCAGCAGGGTTTTGGGCTCCCGGATCTGAGCCAGCACAGCCTGCTCGGTGCAGTTGTAATCGGGATCAGCCCCGTGCAGCAGCAGCAGCCGAAAACACTCCAGGTGCCCGTAGGCGGCCGCCAGGTACAGCGGCCCCGAGCACGACACCGAGTTGGCCGCCCACTCCGGCAGCCTGGCCTGGACATTGGGCTGGGCTCCGTGCTCCAGCAGCTGCCGCAGGATGTCCAGCTGCCCGTCCCTGGCAGCCAGCAGCAGCGGCGAGCAGTTGTTGTAGATGCTGCCCAGCGGGTTGGCACCGTGCTCCAGCAGCGCCCGCACGCACTCGCCGTGCCCGTTGCTGACGGCCACGAAGAGCGGGGTCTGAGCCTTCACATCCAGGCTGTCCACCTGGGCACCGTGGGCCAGCAGCACCCGCAGGCTCCTCAGGCAGCCCCGGGTGGCTGCCAGGCGCAGGGGGGTGCTGGGGACCCCCCAGCCACTCCTGCGGTTCAGGAGCCTCTTGTACCTGTCCTGGCACAGCAGCCGGGCCAGCGTTTCGTGGTCGTCCTGGCACACAGCCCTGCTCAGCTCCTCGCTGTCCTCGTTGTCCTCCTCGTCATCCCTGGGCTGCAGCAGGGAGAATATCTTGTTGATGTCCATGAGGCTCGTTTTGGGCTCCATGTGCTGCTTTCATGGTGAAGGGTGAGGACAAAGATCTACAGGACACAGAACCGGCACCGACCCCGGGTTAGATCAGCCCCTGACACCCACAGCTGCCTTTTAGGGGAAGTTTGTACTCAGCATAAGGAAGAATCTCCAAAAAATGGACAAACATTGGATGAGGATGCTGCTGGTGTGCTCGTGGCCCTGGCAACACGTGAGGAAAGGGTGAAAGGCTGAGGGAATAACGGGAATCAGTGTTGTAGGATCCCATAAAATCATGGAATGGTTTGGGTTGGGAGGGACCTTAAAGCCCATTCAGTGTCACCCCTGCCATGGCAGGGATACCTTCCACTATCCCAGGGTGCTCCAACCTGGCCCTGGGCACCGCCAGGGATCCAGGGGCAGCCACAGCAAATCTGGGAATTTCATCCCAGCCCCTGCCCACCCTCCCAGGGAACAATTCCTGCCCAAAATCCCATCCAGCCCTGCCCTGGGGCAGCGAGAGCCATCCCCTGTGTCCTGTCCCTCCATCCTTGTCCCCAAGTCCTGAGGGATGAGGTGAATGTAAAATGATCATTTTCATTAGGGATCAAACACCTTCCAGCACCTCCCTCCCCAAAATGACGCCAGCATTAGAATTCCAGAGTTTTCCTCCCTCCTGCCTGCACGATCAGGGATGCACGAAGGGTCTGGGATGTTTCTGGTCAGGGATTTGGGGGGAGGAAAGAAAGGTGAGGATGCTGAGCTGATCTCAGGGTGGGACTGGACCCTGCCAGCCTGGCTGGGCTCTGCACACAGATGTGGCCTCAGGGGACAGCGGGGGACAGCACTGGGATGTCCCGGCTGGCACCTGAGCAGCTGGAAACGCTCGGGATGGGCACAGGAATTTCTCGGGTTTCCTCTGGAGGCAGAGCTGGGGCTGACCTGTCCTGGGAGTAATTAATTAGCTAAAGGGTGGCAGCAAACAGTTAATTAGCCCAGGAGCAATTGGCTTCATTGTGCACCTGAGCCCATCACGGGGGACTTGTCCCACATCACCCATGGGGACACGGCCACCAGCCCAGGGGGACCCCAGCAAAGCCACCAGCATTGGGGGCACTGGGACGAGCCTGATGGCACCAGAGGTCTGCCTATAATACAGAATATAAATATATAACCCATAATACAGAATATAAATATATAACCCATACCCAGCCTGTAATACAGAATATAAATATACAGCCTATAACCAGTTCATAATAGAGAATATAAATATACAGCCTATAACCAGTTTATAATACAGAATATAAATATACAGTTTATATTCTGTATAAATTAGCCCAATTTATACAGAAATGTGGGAAATTCTGATGCTGCTGCTCTTCGTTGGACGTGCCTGGAATGAGCTCTGGAGCTTTGGGATCACCCCACCCACAGGGATAATGGGCTGGGGATCTGCAGGTCCCAGCCCAAAAGAGAGTTCTGTTCCCTGGTACATTCCCAAGGGAAACGGTGTGGCAAAGTGAAAGAGCAGCTGGAACATTTCCTGAACACACCAAGAGCAGAAACCTCCAAAGGGAGGCCTGGCAATGCCTGAGACCTTGTGTGGGGAGCTCAGGGAGGTTCCTCCGAGCCCAAACCACAATTCGTGGATTTACAAAATGCTTTGGTTTGGAAAGAAACTTAAAAGTTCATCTCATCCCTGCCATGGGCAGGGTCACCTCCCACCACCCCAGGCTGCTCCAAGCCCCAATGTCCAACATTTCCAGGGATCCAGGGGCAGCCACAGCTTCTCTGGACACCCCACCCTCCGTGTTTTATCACCCCCTGAGCTGCCAGAAGCTGTCCCAGCACCTGCAGAGCCCCAAAAGAGGCAGGGACAGGGCACACCTTTGTCCCTGCGGGTCCCAGCCCCTCCCTCACCCACCCAGCTCCCGGTGCTGCTGCCTTACCTGGGATGCTCAGAGCACCTGAGACCAGGGGGGTGCCATGGCGAGTTTAACCCCAAAATTGTGGTTTAACCCCAAAATGAGCAGGGCAGGAGAGGATCTGGCAGGGCTGGGATGGACAGGGCTGTGTGGGGCCAGCTCACAGCTGAAATGCCACGGCAGGACTCGGTCTGGGGAGCTGGGGCTAATTTTAGCCCCTCTGGGGTTTTATCTTACCACTTCCATTCTTGGAAAGCTCCCCTGGGTAAATATAGAGAGGGCAGAGGGGTGGGGGGAGGCTGGGACAGGTGCTGGAGGCTGCTCGACCCCTCTGAGCCCACACAAAGCTTTTTTTTTTTTGCTGTTTCCTCACAGAAATCACAGAAATGAGGGAGGTTTGGGGTCCCTGCCAGGGCAGCACCGGCCTCTACCCCACCTTGGCTTGGCCAGGCACTCAAATTCCCTCTCAATCCCTCTCCTGCCCTCCCTCCCCCTTTCCAGAGTGACACAAATGGCCATTTGCAACCTCCAAAATGATTTATTAGACACCAGAAGGACAAAAGGTGCTGAAGATGCTCCGGATTTCCCACCTGGGCTGCACCTGCCAGAAGGAAGCACAGCCAGGGCTTCCCGAGGCTGAACAGGAGCCAGGAGGGCAGGAAAGGTCCCAGGGCAAAGCAAAGGAGCAGGGAGCAGCCCTGGGGCTCTTATCAAGAGCTGTCAGCTGGGAAGTGCAATCCTATTTTATCCAGCTCCCTTTAAAGCCTCTCCAAAGTGCCCCGTGGTGGAGCAGGAATGGGCTGGGGGTTTGGGGCAACCTTATCATGGTAGGAGATAATGAGAGACCCAAATTATCCAGCAGGAAAATCCCCATTGCTGCCGCGCCAGGGTGAGATGTGTGATCTGTGCCACCACCACATTCCTGCTCTGCAGCCTCCCCGTGCAAAGCCTGGGATGCAGGAAAACGGTCAATAATAATTTGGTTTAGACTTTTGGTTTTTCCTCTCCAAATTCACTCAAAAATAGATGATTGCTTCCCAAAGGGTAATTCCCCAAAGCCAGCGGCAGGAATGGGATTATGGAGTGTGGTGTGGATGAGCCCTGCAGCAGGACAGGGGAGTTTGGGGTGATTTTTTCTGAGTGTCAGGAAAATGCAACCACAAAAGCCAAGGCTGGCTGGAAATCCTTTCCACAAATCACAGAAATCAAAGCAGCCATTAAAAAGGCAGAGTGTTAAAAAAGGGAAAAAAAGGGAATGCAGACAACAGAAGTGCTAGAAAATGTGAAATGCAGGAAACTTGGAGATGAAAGGAAAATCCTTGAGTGGCAAATTAAAAAGATAAGCTGTTTATTCTTTTGTTGCTGCTGCTGTTTAGTTGTTAACTAAGAAAGATCTTAGGAATGGGGAGCAGATTAAACCCAGTTCTAAGGAGGCAAACCTGAGGCCAGCCCAGCTGGAATCCTGCACACACTCGTGGAGCAGGAACCTTTCCTTTCATCCCTGGATATTTCCAGGGATTAGGCCAGCCTGACCCACCTGGGATAAAATCCCCACTGCTTCCAACTCCAGGAACCCTGAAGCCTAAAAATTTTAAATTTTATATTTCTTTAAACTTCCTTTTAAACTTTCAGTGCTTTCTGACACTGACCCTCAAAAGAACACTGCTTTTGACTCAGAAAAAACTTCCAAATTTAAGTAATAAAGTTAAAAATCACTAGTGTGTCGTTTAAATAAAAGTGTGTAATATCACATAGTGAAAAGTTGAAAATGTAAAGCTTTAAAATACAGAACAAGATGAAACTTGTTAATCAATAACTCTTCTTCCTTCTTTTTCTTTCTTCTTCATAATTTCAAGTAGCAGTTTTTAGTTAAATAAAAAGTACCTGCAGTACAAGTGGCAAGTGTTTAGTTATTAAGTCCAAAGTAGAAATAATGTTTTTAATTAGATAGTTAAACTTTAAAAAACCTTATAACTAAAGTCTTAAAACTAAGGTTTAAAACTAATGGTTTAAACCTTATAACTAAAGCTTAAAAACCTTAGAATGGTAACTAAATACATCATTATCTCACTTCCAGCTTATTAGCTAAAAGTACTACAAAACTCTCTGTACTTTAAATAAAAAATAATAAACAACTAAATCCAGACAAAATAAAATCCATCTCTCACGCATTCAATCTTAACTCTAAGTAAAAACAAAACCAAAAAAACCCCAAAACCTCATTAATGTATAGTACCATTAATAAATGAGGAGCTGGGAAAAGCTTCCACCAGGGGCTGACGTGGCCTCTGCTCAGGGCAAAGCAGCTCCTGATCAGCTCCCTGTTAATTGGGGAAGAATTAGAGGGCAGAAGGGAATTTATTGCCATTAAATGAGTTTTTTGGGAAGGTAAATCCTGGCCAGAGTTGCTTCCATTAAAGAGATTATGGTTATTAATGCAGCTGAAGTGAGCTAATGAGCTTGTGGATTTAGGAGAGTTAAGCAGTTAAAAGTTTAGAGCTAAACAATCCCAAATAAATGATTTTGCAGGGATTAGGGATTTACTGACAGTGCTCAAGGTCGGGAAAGCAGAGTTGGGGAGTGGGGATGTTGTGAATCCTGCCCAGCTCTGGAATCTCCCCCTGTGCTCTCACATCTGCTCCAGCATTCCAAAAATCAGCCCTGGGGGCTCTTCCAGCTCCAGCAGCACCAGGATCCGGGGGTTAGCCAGGAATTGTCCAGGAATTGTCCAGGAATTGTCCAGGAGAGGGCACAGACAGCCTGGCTGCTCTGCACATCCCTGCCAGGACCCTGCTGATGCAAATTCCCAATTTATTTGGTGCAGGAACACACGAAATACAGAGTGAGGAAGGAAGGAGGAACCCAGCAATGTTTCTTCTCCTCCACGAGTTGTTCCTTGAGGAATTTTGGCAGCACTGGAGCCCCAGGAGTTCATGTCTGTGCTTCCACTGCTTTCAGGGAGCCCTTTGCCTTTAGGAAAACAGGATCAAAGGATGGTTTGGGTTGGGAGGAACCTCAAAATCCATCCCATTCCAACGTCCCACTGTCCCAGGCTGCTCCAGCCTGGCCTTGGACACTTCCAGGGATCCAGCCCAGGACCCCCTGTTCCATCCATGGGGGTTTTTTTGGTTATTTATAGAATTTTATTGATCCTTTCCATCTCTCCCACAGCTCTCTGTTGCTGAGAGAAAGGTTTTGTGTCCCCCCTCCACTCCTCCAAAGAGAAGGAAAATAAAATTCCAGGAGAACACTGGAATCCATGAGCTGTTTGCAGGCAAGAGAAACTCCAATTAATGCACCTTTTGTCCAAATTTCCCCCAAATTAAATTGCAGCTTTATCAATTCCACCCACTGTTAATGCTAATAATCCAATTAAATGCAAGGCGAGTCTAATTAAGGTAAATGAAGGATTTCACTGGCAGCACTAAAAACATTCCAAATTAACAAGAAGGGGAAAAGCCTGAGAAACAGCCAGGGACTGAGTGTGCCCCAGTGCCAGGCCCATTTTCCTGCCTTCAACCATAGAAAATATCCATTTTTTAGGGTGGAAAATATTCCTTAAGGGCTGGCTGGGGGGTCTGGAGTTTGTTCCCATGGAAGTTTTGGAGCTGGGATCTCCCTCTTGAGCTGAGTTTGTGTGCACTCAAACCTTTAACAGCTCACTAGCCATGACTAAGAATGGGATAAAAGAGGATTTTTCCAGGATAGCAGCAGCAGCTGGACTGTGGCTTCTTCATTCTGAAGCCATCAGAAAAAAAATAAAATCTTCTCACTGGAGCCATGAAGCTGGGACTCAGCTCCTTGCAGAAGCTCTGGTTGCTCCTCAGAAAGATGGGGGAGACACCTGAGGCCAGGTGAGTGAGCAAGGAAACACTGAGGAGAGACCTGGGTTTAATACAGAAAGGAAAATCTAAATTTAAAAGATTACCCAGAATAGCACAGTTTGCAGGAGACACCGAGATTTGATACAGGTCCATTGGTTATATTCCATTTTTTCCATTAGTTGTGTTCCTTTTTGGGTTGTTTTGAACACCCTGCACTCCCCATTCCCCCCAAACCAGGGGGATCACCCCATTTCTGTCCTGTAGAGGGGAAAGGGCTCCACACTCCCTTTATTAATTAAAATCCTTGAACTGACTTCACCTTTCCAAGTGTTACCACCCAATAAACAGAGCAGCCACTTCTTTTAAAAAGACAAAATGTTTATTTTTGTAGGGAATAAAAATACCTGCAATCCAAGAGAGACTCCATGGGACAAACAGAGACAAAAGACACAATTCTCCTGTAGACAAGATCAGCTTCAAGCAGTGCAGGAACTCAAGAGCCCCACAGAGCCCTTGGGGCACAAACTGGGGCTCATCCCCCCCCCAAAAAAATGTCCCTGACAGTGACACAACGAGCAAGAGGGACATTCCCAGCCAGCACACCACACCACACCACACATGGTTTTAGGGACATTCCTACAAGGATGGGGTCGGGGATGCCAAGGAAAATGCAGCTGGAGGATGGGATCCAGTGCTGAGTTACTCCAGGAGTTTCTGCTACATTAAATCGATGGAAATATAGAAATGATAGAAAAACAACCCCCTAGAGCCTGGCCTGCTCCTGCAGCTCTCCCAGGGGGGACACATTAATTAATGTCATTAGCAAAGCTGCCCTAATGAATGGCCCACCTGGCTGCCTGGTCCCAGCCCCTGCTTCCTCAGCTAATTAATCAAGTGCTGGGTGCTAATTAAAACAGAATTAGGACATTCAGAGCAGGAAATGCCTGAATGTGAGAGAGGGAGGGATGGGAACCAGGAACAGCTGGGAAAAGTCCCCAAAAAAACAACCCCAGCCCTAGGCACAGGGCAGGAAAAGATCTTTGCAATTCTCCTGGTCACTCCTGGATATCCAGGAAATTCCTCTGGGCTCTGAGGCTGCCCAGGAGCTGAAGCTCTTCCCTTTCCAAGGCTTTTCCTCAGCTTTGGGAGCAGCTCTGAGGATTCTGTGCTTCCAGAGGTCATGGAAACAACATCCACAGCGCTGCTCCTACCAGCATTCCCACCTGGAGACCCTCTGGAGCTCTGGGCACCTTCAGCTCCCGACAAATCCCAAGGAGAACCTTCCTGAAAATCTTCCCAGCTGCCTCCAAGCCCATCTCCTCCTGCAGCCCAGCCAGGATGGCTCTGGATCAGAGCTGCTTTATTTTTATTCCAAGGAATGAACTTGGAAAGGCAATCACTAAGCACAGGAACAGAGCAAATCAGACCAAAGAGCTTTCACAAACTGCTTTTCCTCACCCCTAAAGAGGCCATGGAGAACTGAAACTATGGACAAGCCAACTATTCCCACTTCCTCCCTGCAGAGCAAACTGTACCAATTGGATTTTCTCTCCCACAGGTGAGAACTGCAAAAGAAAAACCCAATTTAAGAACCCACAGAACAAAGTTCACATTAAAGACATTTCCAGTGAAGCTCCACGAGTTCCTCTTGTGCTTCAGTGTAGAACAGGCACTGGTCCACTACAAGGTTACAACTGGTTGTAGCACAGGAGATGCTGGGAACAGGCAGGAAGCCATGGAATGTTCTGGAGAAACCAGGGAATGTCCTGGAGAAGCCATGGGATGTTCTGGAGAAGCCATGGGGTGTCCTGGAGAAGCCAGGGAATGTCCTGGAGAAGCCATGGGGTGTTCTGGAGAAGCCAGGGAATGCTCTGGAGAAGCCATGGAATGTTCTGGAGAGGGAGGAGCAGCTCCAGCAAAGCTCAGTTTTACACAAGCAGAGCTCACCTGCACAAATCTCCCAGTTCTCCCAGTGACAGGAATGCAGCTGGAAAGAAGTGCACTGCTCCAAATAACAGCAGCATTTCTGATAAAAGTAAAAGCTTCTGCAGCCCTTCCACAGCTCCAGGGAGCAGAGAATCCAGGCTGGACACTCCAGGGGCAGGAGCAGCTTTGCTGGGCAGCACATCCCAGCCCAGCTCACTGCAGGGCTGCTCCACCAACACCTCAACCCTTCCTGGCTGCTTTTCAAACCTCGTGGAAAGGGAGGAAACCCTGGAATCTTTTCCAGCTCCTAAATTGTAACAGGAATACACTGCAGCCTTGGCCTGAGCACGTAGACACAAAATTCAAGAGGTTTACAAGGTATTGATTTTTGGGTTTGGCTCTGTTTTGCTCATGGAGTGAAAAGCAGCAAGATTCCTCCAAGCTTCCACCACTGAGTAACCTGGTGGTGGCTCTACACACTCGTGGTAACACTGGGTTTTGTGGAGACATTGCATTTAGGAAGAAGGAAAGATGATTAAACTCCTCCAGTGGCAATTCCAAAGGCAAAGCAACACACAAGGAGCCTTCTGCAAGCTGCATTTGTACAATAATTAAGCAACAGCATCTCTAAATCATTCAGTAGCCAATCAAAATCCTCTCCAGTTTTGGATCTCTAATGAAAATCAGAGCATTTATTAAAGATATTCAAGGAGCTGATGAGCCATAGAATAACTGGTCCTAAAAAGTCTTGGCTTCATGTCCCATTTTCTCTCAGATTTGGGGATGGAAAGAAAAGACAGGGCTGATCCCCCAGTCACACCTGGGTCAGCATTTCCAGTGGTTATTTTTTAATCCATCACTCCTGTAGCTCCCACTCCTTCCTTGACAACAACTTTTAAGTCTGACAAATTCTCCATATTAAAAAAATTTCCTCTTTGCCATTCCAGGCAGTGGAGAAACTCTGTGCTCTCTTTTTCCTTGGATCTTTCACGTGCTTTATAAAATTTTCTTACCCAGAATGAGCCACTCAGGGAAGTTTTGGTTGGTTTTTGGACACTGGATCTCCCCAGTGATTTCACCATGGGTTAAAAGCACATGAGCACAGTTATTGCATTTCCTGGTGTTCCACTGGAATGTTTTCAATGGAGATTGAAATATTTTATAAAAAAGTTTGGAAGCCAACTGAAAAGAGAAAAACTGATTGGAAAACTTAATGGCAGCACCTAATTGCAACACCAGCTTGAAAAGAGAGCAGAGCAGCATCCTGAGGAAAGGAGATTCTGAGCAATCCAGCACAGAACAAGGACAGTGGCACAGATTTTCCTGGGGGTGAATCCTCCAAGGCCACAATTTCAGAAATGTCCTCAGGCCTTGATAAGCAGCACCCTGAGCTTATCAGGAACACTGGCTGCTCCCAGGGCTGGGATACAAACTCCTGGCTTTTGCCAACATCTGATTCCTCCAGAATCTGATTTTTCTTGCCTGAATAACAACTCAAGTGGAACATTTTTGTTACTGACCTTTCAAAGGAAGATACTGACCCAAATTGCAGCCAGGCTGGAAAGTGACTCTGACCAAAGCATCTCTCTACAAACAGGGAACCCCAGGGGAATTTTTCTCAGGGAAACACCTGGAGCTGGTCCTTGGGGCTGTGCCAGAGCCACAGCACTGGCACTGCTGCTCTCCTGGATTGTGGATTGGTGACTTCAGCCTCTAAGGTGTGCTCAGAGGAAATTCTGCATAAACCCCTTCTTCCATTCCTTACCTGCTGCTTCTCTGCTGTTGGCTTCAACTGATTCAAACTGACTGTGATTCCAGGAAGGCTTTAGGCCTGAAGTGCTGATAATTCCAGGCCTCAGTCTGGCAGGATGCTCCACTCTGAACCTCATGACTCAACAGGAGAATCTCCCTCACCCTTTTCCATCCCCAGCCTCTATGTTGGTTGAGTTTAGTTTTAGATTGCTTGATTTTCTATTTTAAGTTTTTCTCTGTGTGCTTTAATCATTTAATAAGTAACAGAGTGAACCTTGCCAATGAATTAGGTCACACTTTTTTCTATCAAACCTGCTTTTGCTGATGCCTCTCCCAAGGATTCTTTGGGTGACCTTTAAACACTCATTTGTGACACCCAATCCTTGGGGAGAGAAGTTCTTGTTTCTTCTGTTTCTTCCCAAGTTCATTGCCATGAGATACTGTTCAGGAGACAGACAAAACATGCCTGAAGTTCCTGGAATTTGAACATTCCCTAGAATCACTCAGCAAGTGATTTCAGCATTTTAGGCCCCATTTCAATCCCATCTGTAATTGCTGTCTCATCAATGATTCCAGTTTGGAACAGAGTCACTTTCTTGCTTCAGTTCAACCAAGATCATAAAGTAAGAGAGAAAAATTCCACATCAGTGTTTTCCTGCCTTTCCTCATTTCCAATCCTCCCTCTTGTCACAAATCCACGTGTTCCAGGCTGTCTCTGGGGCTTGCTGCACTCCCATCAATGAGGGAAATCCAGGAAAGCTGGTTCCTCTGGAGGTCAGCTTGGAAAGAAGCTGCTGAACTCGGGGGAACAGCAAAAACCCTGCAGAAGCTGCAGCAGAAGAAAAGCTCCTCACAAACACTGACCACAGACAGGAGCCAACACCACACTGCAAACTCCAACACAAAACCAGGGTGGCCTGGCTGGACACACACACAGTCCCAGAGAAGGCACAGGGGTTTGGTTTTGTGTAACAAATATGCATAGGAAACAAAACATGAATCACTTCTGCTACAAGGCAAGGGTCCATGCACAGATTCATTCACAGCTAAGAAAGGTTGGGGGGGGGGGTTTATCATTTGAAGACACATTGCAATTGTTTTCTTGTTTTAAGATGACCTTGAACCACCACTGAGAACAGAGGGATTTGCATCCTTCCTCCTGCACTCACTGCCCAGCTCCTCATGGAATTGGCAGGATTTCTTCCAGCCTCAGGCAGCAGAGCTGGCAGGCAGCCCTAGCCCTCAGAAATGCACGTGTTCCCACGGAAAGCCAAGCTGCCAGGAATGCCAGGCAGGCTCCTGGCAGCTCTGAGGTGCCCCCCAGGAGCCCTGCACACCCCTACTCACACTCAGCTGCCAATGGGGGCTGCAGCAGCTCCCCTGAGCTTCTCCCAGCAGCTCCCAGAGCTCATCCCTGGTGCTGAGCCTGCCCATCCTCCCTGGGATCCTGGGGCTGGGCTGGGCTCTCCTTGTGCTTCTGGTGGCCCAGGGAGGGGCCATTGCTCAGCCCAGGGGCTGCTCCCCCTGCACAGTCCTGAGGAGCAGGTGAGGCTTTGGCAGCAGCAGCTCCTGCCCTGGGTGAGGTGCAGCCTTTGCTGGGCAAGGGGCCGTCGAGGAGAGGGAGTTTCTGTATAAATAAAAAGGCATAAAAACAAATAATTAACATCTAGATGTCACAGAGGGGCAAAAACCAGGTGTCAACATGACAGTGCCTCTTTTTCAGCTCTGAAATCCAGCAGTGGAGGAGCAGGACACAAATCCCCAAATGCCTGACACAAACATCAGAGATACCTGGACACAAACATCAGAAACACCTGGACACAGACATCAGAAATACCTGGACACAGATCCTGCCATGTCAGACACAAATATCAGTGTTTAATTAATAAAGCTGAAGTTTTCATCAGTCACATTACCCCAGTAAATATTCTGATATTCTTCTCACTGGTGTATTTTAAAAGCTGTATTTTCATTTGTTTGGGGGTGTTTTGACACAGAGATCTGTCACTGACCCCCCCTCATTTTTACCCAGCTGGTTGTTCCAACCCTTCAATGCCAATATTTGATCTCATTAACCTTTCCAAACCCCCCACCCAGGGGATTTGAATTCCCTTGTGGCTCACGTTTTCCAGCTGGGATGCATTGTCCTCCAGTGTCACCTTCTGGCTGGTGCAGCTGAGCAGCTGATCCAGCACACACTGCTTGGGGTGCATGCCTTTGTCAAATCTGTTGTACATCCCACACCAGAACCTCAAACCAGGCAAAAAATGGCAATTAGGGGCTCAGTTGGACATTATTGACAAGAAATAGATGCTTTTCATAAATTGAGATTAGGATTTCATTTTAAAACCTGCCACAGACTTGGATTATTAAAGTCAATAGCAATAAACAACTTTTCTTCAAGTGAAAAAAACAGTAAGTATTAGAATAGATTGAAAATACTTCTTTTTTTTTTTTTAATAGCAGCTTTATTGGAAGCTTGGGCATCTTATCTTCCACTCCTTGGTTTGCCCAACCTCCCAACTCTCATTTGCACACACAGCAATTAAAATCCCATTTTCATGCCCTTCCCTCTTAGCAGGGCCCAGGAATGAAGCAGAAACAAAGCCTGGGAAAAACCATGAACTGGGCACCAAAATTCCTGCTTGAAAGACTTCCTTAATATACATGAAAAAGGAGGAAAAAAGGAACTTTTTCAAACACTTCAATGTGACAGAGCAAGCAGCCAGGGTGTGTGTGTGTGTGGTTCTGGCTGAAGTTCTGCTTTTCCTTGCCTTTCCCCACCCTCTTTTCTCAACACCAAATTACAAATATTATTTGAAATGCCAGCATCTGGATTTATTTCCCCTTTGCACTGCTCCTCTTAGTTTATGCCAGAGGAATGGAGGGGAAAGGTAAAACAAACCAAGCTAATCAGTGCAAATTTATTTGATTTAACCTGATTTATCAATGAAAGAAACGTTCCCCTTCTTAACTGAGGCACTTACTGGAAACTGAAAGGTAGAGTGTTTGGTTGAAGCTCTTTGTAAGCTGTAAATCCTTTGTACAAAGGATTTCTCAACTCCTGCTTCCTCTGTAAGAGGAAAGGCCACAGGGAATGGGTCTTCTCAAAGATTCTGGCAAGTAAAAAGAACATCTGATCACTAAAAAAAAAAGCAGCAAGTGGATTAATAACTGCAGCTGTTGGGAGGAGAATTAGATTAAGGGAGCTAAGAATTGTTTTTAGATTGCTTGATTTTCTATTTTAGTTTTTTCTCTGTGTGCTTTAATCATTTAATAAGTAACAGAGTGAACCTTGCCAACGAATTTGGTAACACTTTTTCTATCAAACCTGCTTCTGCTGATGCCTCTCCCAAGGATTCTTTGGGTGACCTTTAAACACTCATTTGTGACACCCAATCCCTGGGGAGAGAAGTTCTTGTTTCTTCTGTTTCCTCCCAAGTGAAGATTCATTGATCCCTGATTGATTTCACAAGCACAGGATATTAAAATGAACACTCTCCTGTCCAGAAGGGATATCTGCAAGTTATTATTGTGTTCCAAACTAAAACATCTTTTCTGGGATATCATTCATATTCTTTTCTCCCCTTGATAAATGTTATGTTCCACAATCTCCAATTCCATAAAACACATCCATCCCACCACTTTTTCACATATTCCAAGGGATTTGTGGCCTGTTGGCTCCAGGAACCCTCAGCTCACCTGAGCTCCTCCCTGTCCTTGTGGCAGGTGCCCAGGAAGTTCCCAAACTGGCAGGAGTACACGTGGTCGTGGATCTCCAGCAGGAAGCGCTCGCTGAACTCGAAGGAGCAGGGGAACTGCTGCATCAGCTGCCACACACACTCCACAAACTGTGTGAACACAGGGGACACCTCTTTGGGGTCCCCATCCAGGTGGCCACACCTAGAGAGGTGCAAAAAGCAGAATAAATCCTGTGTCACCCACCATCAAATGTCCCCTTGCCATCGGTTTTCTGTCAGGTCAAGTTTATGCTTTGAACTTGGCAAAGTCCTGAGAAAGTGGCTGAGATCCTCTCCAGGAGAATTCCCAGGTCTGGCTGGATGGGACAGGCTGCCCAGAGTGGGGTCACCATCCCTGAAGTGCTCAGGAGATGTGTGCATGTGGCACTTGGGGACAGGGGTTAGTGCTGGGTGCTGATTGAACTTTATCCTCTTGATGTTTTTTCCAACCTTCATGGTTCTGTGATTCCATGATTAGCACTCCTCAAATAAGAGAATTTTGCAGAATTCAAACCATGATTTTGTAAAGCAATAAAAACACAGTGATGAAATAACAGCCTTAGAACAATGTCACCAATGCCAACATTTTCCCAATGTTTTCTCCTTTCCATTTCAGTTTTTCATGGGATCCCCTAAACCTGCAGAGAGTTTTGGTTTCACACCCCCCCAGGGAAATGTGCCCCTCTCACCTGTGTGAGAACTTGTGGCCCATTGCAATCCACTCCTTTTCTATCAGGACCTGCAGGTTCAAAACAGGCATCAAGAAAAGAGCATTATTTGGTTAAAAAAGCAAAATGCAGCCTTTGATATTAAAGCTTAAAAAGCTGAGAACCTGCTGCCCCTATTGCTATAAATATATCCCCAGAAATCAATGGGAACAGGAATTGTGATTTATAGATTATCCAGTTACCAAGGCAATGGCCCTGCTGGAATCAGAACTCATTTCAAAACTATCATTTTGAGGGAGTTTCTAAGTTGTTCAAATCATAATATATAAACATATTGAGCTCAAAGAATTAACAGCTTAATATTACACTGTGCTATTTAATTTGGAAAAGAGTGTTGTGATGTTCAGCAAAATAAATCAGCAACTGGTGTTCAACAAATGTTGAACAGACAAAAAGAATTCTATGAAGTACAGCTGAGTAATGAGGAGTTCAGGATGAAATCAGAACAACTATGTGGCATTTTAAAAATAGATTTTAAATAGAAAATAAGAGCTGTTATAATCGGTTTTCCTTACTGATAAATAAGATAAAACAATCGGTTTTCTTTACAATGTCTCACAAGGAACCACATGGCTAAAGCTGCATCCATCATTACTTTGCTGGATCATCTTTAAAGATAATTCCTGCTGTCATCATCCAGATTAAGAGGAGGAAGGCAGAAACAACAGAGTTCTTCTTTACATGAAGAAAACCTCATTTAAATTGCTTTTTGAATGTTTCCATTCCTTGCACTGCTGATGAATTCCCTTAGGAATAATCCCTTGTCAGGGGCTTGTGCTACAAACCACGGGGACAGACAGGGATGTGTTTGTGTCTCTGCTCCTGTTCTCAGTTCATGCAGGCAGGACAAAGATGTTTCATGTGCTGATGGAATTTTAACTGTTAAAAGACTGCAGTATAATTCAGAAATAAAAACAGAAACAATAAAATCAGCATAGAATGCAGTCCTGGCACTGGAAAAGGCAAAATCTGCATTGTTCTGATTTCAGGGATTCTTTCAAGGAGCTCTCCTGAGACAGAGCAGCTCTTCAGGTACTTAACAAGAGATGAATGGAAAGAAACATCACAGACTGCCCTGAATTCATGCAGGGATGGCTGCAAATTAAGAAAAAGCTTGCACTAGAGGCAAACAGCCAAATTAAAATGAAATGGCTTTTAAAAAGGTGTGAAATGATGCAGATTTGACTGATGGTCAGGGGACAGGGCTGAGTTCACCCCATTTCAAACCCCAGCAGATAAGAGACCTTCAGGATAAACTCCTGCAGCGCTTTTTTGGTGGCTTGCAGCCAGAGCTGCATCCTTTGGTGACATCTCTCATTAGCGGCTGCCATGCAGCCATTGCAGGAAACAAGGATTTGGGAATTGTCAATCAGCTGCTGCCGTGCTGCTCACAGCAATTCCAGCTCCTCTTTGCAGGTTGCCAGGGAATGGCCTGAGCCCTTTCCTCAGCTCCTGCTGGCTCTGGAATCGCGGGCTGTCCTTACCATGAAGCCTTTGAAGGTCCTGTAGAAGGGGTCCAGGAGGAGGCTGGCCAGGGAGCACACCTGGGCCGTGCGGTCCCAGCCGTCGGAGCAGTGCACCAGCACGCTGGCCCTCTCCTCCCTCACAGCCTGCCAGGGACACAGCACACAGCTCAGGGAAATGCTGGCCCTCACCCCAGCACCCCAAAACCCTGGGACAAAGGGTGGCCAGCTCTCCTCTGGCCTGTGGAAATGCAGCAGTGCATCAAGAGAAGCCCCAGCTAAAGCAAAGTGATGCAGCGGGCTGGTAAAAATCTGCCCCTGTGATCTCTGGAAGGCCAAGGATTCCCTGGCTCTTCCTCTGAGGAAAAAAATTTGGTGGATGAGCAAAAATCAGTTGGACACCCAGGAATTAAAACTTGATCTCAACTTCCTCCCATCCCGTCCCCTTTTGCCACTTAGGGCAGGAGAGAAACAGAAAAGTTTCTTGCTTGTGACGTGGGCAAACTGTGAGAGACAACCAACATTTATTACTCACTCCTCTCACCACATTTCCTGCACACCCTTTACTACTCCTGAGGAACTTCCTTCCTTCTGCCTGACCTGCAAAGCCACCAGCTCTGCAGAAATGAGGACTGTGTTGAATAATCAAAGTTAGTGTCCACATCACATCAAACCAGGAGGAAATAACTCAGTGAAAACAATCCCTCAGTTAAAGCACAGCAGTGGATGAATAATGAGCCCAGGGTTAGTTGTTTGCACTGCTACACAGAAAGGTTTATAAAGGTCATTTATTCACATTTTGTGATCTTATGTTTCAAATGAGCTCTAACAAATTAAAAGCACACAGGACCTGTATTTGCACCTGCACGACCCAACGTTTTTGGAGAGACTAAGCCAACCTGAACACCACCCCCTCCCCAGAGCCACCTTGCTGAGCTTGCAGCAGTCCCCAAAACACCAGCAGGGATTTTGGGATGCAGCTGGAGCTGGAGAGCAGCTTTACCTTGGCCAGGAAGACACCTGCATCCATGACAGCCTTGATGTGCCGTAACCAGCCCGAGTTCTCCAGCCCCGTCAGGAAATCGCTCATGGAGGGAGATTTCATCTCACACACTGGCAGCAGACACACACACACACAAAATCAGAGCAGAATTCCCTGCACCTCCTCAGCATCTCTAAAAAATTTTCACTGCTTGCAGCAATATTCTGTCTAAAGGACACGCTAGTGGTTGTGTATCTAAAATTCGTAATTACAAAAAATCGCTGGTTTTGTGAGAATTTGAGAAATCTCCTCCTGCTCTTTGTTTTAAGGGTAAATCATTATTTATTCAGCTGTGTTTTTTCCAGCAGTGAGCTGTTATTTCACTCTAAATCACCATCACATCTACAACCATTCACTCACTTCCCAAAGAGCTGAAGTCGTTTCTCTCTAATTTAAAGACAGAAATAACAAGTCTAACCTTGAAGGCAACTCAGCTGCTCTAATGAAACCCAGCACAGAAAATACTCAGAGTAATAAAGCTCAGAACAGTCCATAAACCCCAGTGAATGAGATTTTAGCACTGTTGGAGAAGAACATAAGAGAAAACCAGTTTTTATTCTGCCTCTTCTCCCACCACAAAATAAATCTGCCAGGAAGAGGCAACTGAGGATTCAGAGCTGTGATCACTTTTTTTGGGTGGTAACAGCCTCATTTTTGGCCAAAAAAATCTGTCCACAGATCCTGCAGGGCCACCAATTCCCAACTATTTTGAAAAAAAGATCAGCCTTATGGTGGTTACTCAAATATTGAACTCCTATTTTGGATGACAGCACTGGAATTGCAAAATTCTGCAAGATTCTATTGGTGAAAGTCTGGGTCTCATCTCTTGATCCCCAATGCTCAGGTGATTCCTTTGCTCTGCTTTGCATTCCTTCCTAGGATCACAATGAGCTTAATTACTCTGCATTTTCATTTAGTTATGGATTAAAACATTAATTTAGTATGTTTTAAATAACTCTGGTTACAAGGAATTAGAAATAAATTAAAAGTTAGAACAAAGTATGTATGAGACTCAAGTCTTTGGGAGATCATGCCAAAACTGTAGTTCAACTCAGAAATACTGTTAATTTTCCAAATACAGCAAACCCCAAAAAGCATTTCTGAACAACCTCAGGTGTTTTTTTTTTTCATGAAGCAACCATAAGACTGTGCTAGTTGTAAAATGTAATATTCCTCTAACCTTTTTCTATTAATTTGGCACGTTCATTAAGGAATGTTTTTTACTTTTAGTTGTTATTTTTGAACCACTATAAAACCAAGCACAAGAACAAAGAAAATATCAAGCAGGAAAGCATTTGAACAGCATTAATACCTTCAGCCACTTGAATGCAGCAAACAAACCAAGATGCTGACTTTGCTGCCATCAGAACACGTTTGTGCACAGAACATTTGAATATTCAGCAGGAGTTCTGCCCACAGGGGTAAAAAGACAAACCCCTCCCAGGGCTGCACCCACCTTCCAGCAGTTTCTGCAGGCTGCTCCTCATCACATGGATGTTCTCTATGCCAATGAATTTAAAACGAATGTTTTCATAATTATCTTCATTCTCATAGCCCTTCCCAGCAGCTCTGTTGGCCATGGCATTCAACTGGCAAATTCAAGGAGCAGGAAAGGAAAGAAAAGAAAGAGAAAAATCACAACAAAATTCAGAGAGGCTGTTTTGCAAGTCCTTTTTTTAAATTTTGTTTAAATCTCCAAGGAAATGTACTGGACAAAGGTGTTACTCAGCTGTACTTCCCCACCTCCCAGACAGTTATTTCATTCAAATTACTGCAGTTCATTAGTGAGAGGCTCATTAAAATCCTGCTTAGGGTAGTATAAACCCCCAGTTTCTGCCATCAGAGACACTAAACCTGCCCTAACTGTGAGTTTACCTAAGGAAATTCAGAGAGAGGCATGGAAAGAACTAGGAAAGCCATGTTTAACATTTTTACATACATGCTGGTATAGAAATAGTAAAGGAATTCCCAGTTTTCACAGAGGAAATAAAGCCACCTGAGGGAAACATAGAAACATTCCAGTTGAGAAGAAAGAACAGAGTAGGACAGAAGTAGAAAAGAAGCCAGCTGCTCTAAAAATCCCCCAAAGCAGTCCAAGAGCTACCAGGACATCTCTGGGGGGGACAGAAAATACAGATCAACCCCCCCTTATCAATTTGGGCAGCTTTTGGGAGAGAAGAGTCAGATATGGTGCAGACACCTTTAGAAGTGTAAAATAACCCCAGTGCTTCACTTCTGCCAGACTGGGACAGTTTGGCTTAGAAGGAGAAGTGTCACCAATTATAAATGCTCCCCTTGTCACCAAATGCTTTAGCACAAACTGCCACCAGTGCTGGATTTCAGTGGCACATCTCTGCACCAAAGGAACTGCACATATCACAGCAGAACAGGGGATTTCTAGGAAATGTCACACCAAAAGCCAAAATACACACACAGCAGGGTGTGAAACACTCCCTCTTCTCCCCAAAAAGACTTTTTCTTTCTTGGCCTTGCCATAGTTTAACTAAACTTGTAGTTTATAGAAAATAACTGCATGATCTGAAGAGTGCAGCAGGTTCTCAGAAAGCTTCATTTTCAAATAATCTGAGCAATTTAAATCTTTGCATTTAAATAATTGTCTTCTAATTGGTTTCTACCAACACTCCTAATCCATATGTTTACAAGACAATCACTGAAATTTCTAAACTCAGCTCTTCCAGATGACAGTCATTACAATTTTAATGTTGCAAATATTTCCTGTCAAATAAACCCTCAGCTCTCAACTTCTAGCCTCAAATAGTGGGGCTGAGCTGTATTAAGCTCCATCATGAGTGCTATTTTTAAAAGAGGGAAAAAAAAAAAGGGAGGGATGGCTTTTCACAGCTCCACTTCCTCCCAGATGTGCCAGTAAAAGCACTTCAGCCTCGTGGAACTGAATCCTGAGGTTTCTGTCCAACTCCACTCCCAGGTCTCTCCTCCTTCATCCTTTAGGACTCTGCAGGAAAAGGCTTCACTGTCCCAGCCAGGTTCACAACTTCCAATTCCATCCTGAACACAACCCTCAAATCCAGCATCCTCTGAAGCAGGAGCCCCATCCCATATCCCCAGTGCAGAACTGACCCAGAATTGTGAGAGAACAAAGTGACAACAGCACTGCTCATGCAGACAAGAGATTGAAAAGCAGCCCAGAGCCCATGGAGGTACCTTTGGCCTCGTGTCTACAACATACATGAAGGGGCAGCCGGGGTTGGCCTCTCGGATGGCCTGGAGCATCTGCTCGTCCTCCAGGCAGCGTGCACTGAACCCGGCCAGGGGCTGGCTGCAGCGACACAGGGCAGCCTGAAACACACAGAGAGACAGGGAGAAAAACTGTCACTGCCCCCTGAAACACACAGAGAGAAA